GAACGCACAACATGTTTGCTCTATGGCTACCAACGTAACGAAGGTAACAATAGAATATGAAATATACGCTATTCTATTTCTTGACAAACAAAATACAAATATAAAATCATCTACAATTATTTGTAAGGAAATTTAAAAATATTTGATTTTATTTTGAAAGTTTTATTAAACTATAAAGTTTTAAGACGAAAACAACGTAAATATGTCGTATAAACGTTTGTCTCCCGTGTGACCCAGTGAAGCGTGTTTAAGTCCCGCCGATCCGCTCGGGCTGTCCCACCAATTTATTTGTTCCTCCGGCCGAAATTGATCGATTTGTTCTGACATCGCCGGCGCTGACTCGACGAGAAACGCTTGCGGAGGCGCCGTAAGCATTGGGAGAATAATGCCAATCAAGTATATATCACCGACCCAGCAGACCTCGGGTGTGATGGGTTTGACAGTTGGACGGACGGATTCGAAAATAGTTGAAAGATATGAAACACAATTGGAGAATGTTTTTTAGTTGATTTTATGATTTTATATAAAAGAATGAGGAAAATGTGAGAAGAAAGTTAAATTTTTAAAATAATATTTTTTTAATGGATTTAATTAATAATTAAATGATATTATCAGTTAATATTACATTATCTTTGTTGCAAATCATTGCTTAGCACAATTTACATCAAATCCGGATGTTCGGACTGCGGATATCGTACTTCCGTGTTTATGTATATACGAGTATTGTAAACATGAGCGGCACGCCGCCTCCGGCGACATCGCATCGGCGTCAAACAAACATCGAGACGTTATCATCACAGCCGCCTCCGGTAACATCTAGCGACAAACATCTTCTTGTCTTTAGAATAATATTGGATACACACAGCAGTATTAATAACAATTCCTCTGATATTCATGTAAATTTTTGTGTTATTCACTTTTTAATTCAATTTATATTTATTTAAAACTGTTGCTCGCGACTTCGTTCCGGCAGTGTTTAATAAAAATGTAATTCGTTTTTACTCTCTTGTTCTAGACATACTCGTAGTAAGAGTCAATTCTATCAATAAGATTAGCAATTTTAATTTAAAGAAATTATGCATATAAAGTTTTGTCAATAATGCACTTCAGCGCGCCATCTCGAATACAACTATTTAACTATAACTATGATTGAATCTCAATGTCAAATTTTATTCTATAGAAAAGAGCTGTTTTGAGGATTTTCCCGGCAATTATTCGAATTTTTCTCACCTTTTAAACCTTCCCTAGATCTCCACGAATAATTCAAGACCAAGATAAGATAAATCCGTTCAGCCGTTCTCGAGTTTTAGCGAGACTAACGAACAGCAATTCATTTATATATATATGTATATATATAGATATAGATATACATATAACTAACAAAGAATCGCTTTATACTAAAATAGTTATTTGTGCACAGTTTGTTTACGTTTAACTGCATTTTTTGTTTAGTTTTGTTTTACTTTGTTTTGTTTGGTTTCCGGATGTTGGATGACTTCTCAGAGGCGCCCGTTGAATATTTCACATCACTTTAAAACGCGCGCGCTACGAGCGCAAGCCATTCAATATGCATGCACTCGACGTACATGCGAATCGCCGCCCACATTCGAAAATAATCTGAATAATATACACTTGCGATGCGGATGTGGCGGCGGGTCTCCGGGCGCAAACATGCAAATACTCCGTGGCGTACCGCAGCGATTGGTTATGGAAAACGTAACACCCGACACGATCACCACATAATCAGCATAATCTTCACGATCGACAACATCAAAATTACCATTATCAAAATGTTATTCATTTCAACTAATTTACGATCAAAACCTAAAGTTTCTAATGAAAAAAGTTTTATTTTTTGAAATTTACGAATATTTACATTTATATTATAAGTTTTAAACATTTTAACATTACAAGTATAAAATTATACTGATAATAAACTAATTTAAATTATTTTTTAAACAAAATCGAAATTTATTTAAAATTTTTCTTTATAAATAAATTTTTTTTGAGATTTTGAGACATAAACTTTTAATATGATGCGAAACCACGTTTTAATCTACAACTACAGTATTCAACACTACGAGAGTGATATAATATATATTCTCCAGGAGTGTAGGTATCCACCGCAGGAATTAGCACAGGACTGCCATTATCGAAACCATCGGCCTCAGCAAGAAATATACGCGTTCTCCAGCCGCGTCCTGCAGTCCTCTGCGCCGTATTTAAAAGTGGTGCGCACGCGCACATTGTACGTGTACTATTTGCATATTAACTAAATTATGGTAATGCAATTAGCGCCCGTCCAAACCGACCCGAACGCAGCGCGACCACCGGCATGAGGAAAATCTGCACGGTCAAAGTACTCATGCTCTGGATACTAACCAACACGATCACTAACTCCAATCTGCATCTCTGTGTCTATCGCCATTAATTTCCATTGGTGTGCGTTGGGCGCAACCTATAATATCGATGATACTGTATGAGCAGTGGCTATGACCGGGTATTCATTGTGACACACTCGGACGCACTCCAATAAAGGTGCGATTTACACGTGCGGATGCACTCGTATGAAAATTACAATGGCGGTGGTGTTTTGTCCTGTTTGTCCTGTGTGTCCCTAGATGTCGATGTAAATGAATATCTATGCGGCTACTTTACTAGCAGTAATATTATCCCTACTAATATTATAAATGCGAAAGTCCTGATGTTTGTTACACTTTCACGCAAAAACTACTTAACCGATCATCATGAAAATTTGTACACATATTCTTAGTGGTCCCCGAATGGTTATAGGCTACTTTTTATTTAATAAAAAAAATTATTTTTTAAATAAAATAAAGAAATTGTTAAGCCAATAATACCTCTGCATCTGGCTATTTGACTACTTTAACGCCATCTAGCATTCCAGCAATGAAGCTCAAACCTAAGTACTATAGTACCATCACACTGTATTATCACACTGTATTACCGACAGCTACGTCAACATCAAATCCAATTGACTACACTATGGAGACTGTACACTATACTTCCATAGACTATACTTTCAGCCATTTGAAACTTCCCGCCATTCTACTTCATTGTTACTTCATCTGTGACTACAGACGCGTACGGAAGCAACTTCATTATTTTAGATATTCGCGAGCGAAGCCGCGGGTTAAAGCTAGTGAACCATATTTAGTGTGTGTAAGTTCGGATTAAATTTTAATTCCATTTTTTCTTGTTCTTTTTTGATAAATTAAATAAATTTTGACGTTTCCTTAAAGATTCAAGTTAAAATGGTTTAATGTTTTGTCTTGTTTGTCCTATAGGTCCCTAGATGCCAATATAAATGAATATCTATGCTGCTACTTTACTAGCACTATTATTAAGACCGATATTTAATGTCAGTAAGTTCAGATTAAATTTTAATTTCAATTTTTAGCCTGTTTTTTGATAAATTAAATAAATTTCTACCGCTTCCTTAAAATTTCAAGTTGAAATGGTTTAATGTTTTGTCCTGTTAGTCCTTTAGGTCCCTAGATGTTGATTTAAATAAATATCTATGTTGCTACTTTACTAGCAGTATTAATATGAACCATATTTAGTGTCAGTAAGTTCAGATTAAATTTTAATTCAATTTTTTCTTGTTTTTTTTGATAAATTAAATAAATTTCTACCGCTTCCTTAAAGATTCAAGTTGAAATGGTAAAAGATACTCGCATTTAATGAACGCTGCCGAACCCTTGTTTCCCACTAATCCGATTAAGCCTGTAATGAGCGTATAAACATAAAAACGTTTTCCTTGATGTTTTTACAACCAAACTAGCGCATCCGGCAGGAAGCAATGAACTTCCTTCAACCTTTCAAAATCACCGAAACTACCACGCAGCAAACAACTTCTCTTTCACTCCCCGAAAATTTTTCTCTTTTGAAGGAATCTTCGCCCAGCAAACAGAAACGAACCGTGTGTGTGGTAAAAGAAGTCGTCGAAAAGTTTAATTACGGTTAACACTAGAATGTGCGAGTTATCCCGGCCGACATGTAGTTAATTGCGAACGTCGTAAAAGAGGTTGGACACTACCAGAGAGGAGGGAGGCTGAAATCCCTTCTAATCCTCGTGAGGGACGCGCAAGCATCTCAAGACGTGTCAAGATGCAGGAAAAGGGACAATCCGTTGTGCTGCTCGGAACATGTGGACCCTTTTTGCACACGACCCTTCCGCATTCGTAGGTATAAATAAACCGATTGCGACCCGAATGCTCCACCGAATGCACTCTATTTATACTAATTAGAAAACGTAATCGTTTCCCGTTTGCGGGCGAAAATTTAGACTTACGAGGATCTTCAAGCGCACCATGGACAAAACCTCCTCGTGTGGAGCGTCTAATCGTATATTGGGACTAATTGAGATGTCAGAATTTGCCATTGTCGTGTGGCGGCATTGAATGGAACACGCAGCCAAGAATGCATTTCAAGATGGCGCTCACTCACCATCTTGGCGAAATGAGAAAGCAGTCGCACACCCACACAATGAATGCAATCTTAAGCGATTTCAAGCTATGTGTGTGTATATGTGTGTCTGGAACGTGCGCAACTCCTCGACGATAAACGTTAATTAGCGTGTACTACATGATTTTAATTAAATGGCACTTGAAAGTTTTTCTCTGCGAGGCCAAGTTGGCTGCGCTGTTTGCGTAGCGAAAACTCAAGAGCGAAAAAACATTACATTGAGCGCAATGCTTGAATAATCTTGAATTATTCAAGCGGTTCAAGTATTTTCTAGGAAAATAAATTCACCGCCGCTCTAAGTAAGCGAAACTCTATGAATGCTTTAAGGACTTTACGGACTTAACGAGATACAAAGGAGTGTAAATTAAATGTAATCTTTTACGGCGGGATACCAGGAGTAATTAAAGTCATTGTACGCTTTTAGATATAATTGAATTCTGTAGAAATTATTTTTGTTTGATAAATTTAGCTATTTTGTAATTTTGATTATATAAACTTGTTTTGTGTTTCAGATGGTGAACGTCTTCACCGGGCGCTTTCCGATAGCGCTTTTATTCGTTCAGGTTGCTGCTTTGTCGATGATTGCTTCTCCTCCTGCCTGTCCACCTGAATGCATTTGTTTATCACAAACACAGGTAAAAAATGTTATTTTACTAAATATTAACAAAATCTATATATATAAAAATGAATTGCTGTTCGTTAGTTTCGCTAAAACTCGAGAACGGCTGAACGGATTTATCTTATCTTGGTCTTGAATTATTCGTGGAGGTCTAGGGAAGGTTTAACAATCTAGCGAAAAATTCACGTTTAACGAACAGTACAAATCTATCAACGTATATAAACCGCGCCGAAATTTGACAGACGACTCCGTTGCCAATTTCCCCATCGCTAGCGATTACAATAAACATTAAACGGTAAGGGTGTGTACTTGTGTGACAACCTGAGAGAAGTTATACTCGCGTGATGAGATTGTGCGCGGCGCGTAACGGCGACAGCCGGCGATAACGAAACCGTTGGTGTCGCGCGATTGTTGCATCGCCATCTTCGGATGCGCGCGTGTGTGCGTGCGTGCGAAAACCACTTGTTAGCCCGCGAGCAGCGAGGGGTGCGCGCACCCCGCACACAGTACCCACACGACGCTCCCGTGTGCTGTGTGCACTGTGCGGCACGGCGTGCAATTGTTTATTAAGAAAAAAACAACAACACACACGCGCATCGACACCGAACGGAAACGAACACGTTGAAGACTAGTCAGGCTGGCCGAAGATCTTCACTCGAAGGCTTCGTAGAATGATCGGGTGAGTACCTAACCTCAATACTCTACCACCCCATGTATTAGTTATAGGTTAGCATAGTATAGAAAACATTTTAAGCTGTAACTTGTATGATTTTAATGCGATTTGAAAAATTCAAACGTCATTTTATTCGTCGGGTCAACCCCCAGGTATGTATCATGTTTATTATTACCGGGAATTTATATTAATGAGGTTAGGTTAATAAAACGCTTGTAAAGATAACGTATCGCCTGTATATGCGAATATTTTTCTATAATGAACATTCGTAGCCGCCATTGTTTTTATGTTTGTATTGCGCGCGTGTGTGTGTAGCAAACAATAAAATCGCCGGCGGGCGTTTCGAGAGGGGCTTTTTTTTTATCAGCCGCGACAGGGCGCCCCCATTGTTGCGCCTCTTCGCCATGTGCGCGCACTCGGCGCACAATCAACAGCGAATGTAATGAAACATGCTACATCGCAATATTGTAATCGCGCTCGTACTTTTTGAATTAGAAACACAGCAGCGGCGTGTATCATGTATCAATATCACAATGAGTTCTACGCGTGTACGTAAAAGTTTACAAAACAACAGATAACATCTTTATTTTAAGGTTAAAATGTATTTGCGTGTATATTGGGTTGCATAATATTAGGCGCATGCGTATGGAAATACAGCAATAGTAATTGTAATTTGCGTTAATTGCGCTTGGAATTATTTAATGACTATTTACTTATTTACTCAGCTAATGAGCAATGGGGGCGGCGGGGGCGGTGCGTGTTGAACACAAAAACACCAATCAATGTATTGACGATAAAAGTTCGGGTTTTGTTCGACGATCAGGAGATTAATTATTTATTCATTTGTGTGCGTGAGTTTAAATTGAGTTCATCCAACACGAATAATCATCAATCACATTTTATTGCTACTAATTAATCACTCATTATCGAATTGTAGTTTTTGAAATTATTACTATTGATGTGATGTATAATATGCAAACACACTGTATGTGTAATAATAATCTATATATATATAAAAATGAATTGCTGTTTGTTAGTCTCGCTAAAACTCGAGAACGGCTGAACGGATTTATCTAATCTTGGTCTTGAATTATTCGTGGAGGTCTAGGGAAGGTTTAAAAGGTGAGAAAAATTCGAATAATTGCCGGGAAAATCCTCAAAACAGCTCTTTTCTATAGAATAAAATTTGACATTGAGATTCAATCATAGTTATAGTTAAATAGTTGAATTCGAGATGGCGCGCTGAAGTGCATTATTGACAAAACTTTATATAATTAATTTCTTTAAATTAAAATTGCTAATCTTATTGATAGAATTGACTCTTACTACGAGTATGTCTAGAACAAGAGAGTAAAAACGAATTACAATTTTATTAAACACTGTCGGAACGAAGTCGCGGGCAACATAGTTTTTAATAATAAAAGAAATAAAAGATCAAAACTTTTTCTGTTTATTTTTTAAGTAAATAATGAATTACGACTTATTATAATTTTTTTTTTAATAAAATAAAACATATATATGTAAGTTTTGACTAAAACATGACATAATCAGTAAAAGTTGACTAAAAATTCTTGTTTTTTTTTTATTTAAGCAAAACTTTACTCACTAAAGGCTACATATACGTATAATTATATAACACGCTAGGAATTTGCGACGTTTAACAACTTTCCGCATTGTTCTCCCGACACGAGCCGCCGTAATTCAATTTCTCAGTGGCGCAAACTTAATAATAATTGATCTGCATGCGGCGCTAAGTAATCAAGCTGTTTAGTTCCTAATTATAGTCAAACTGCAGTCGGCTCGACACTGGCGATAACAAAACGATTTGAATCACGAGCTGTTTACACACGCAGTAACAATCTCATTTTAATTTCCTCCACACACGAAATAATTTTATCAAAATAAATGACAAAATAAAATTATGTTTTTAAATTGATGATAGAAGATAAATAAATATGGTAACACCTTGTATATTTGAAGTTAGTATCTTGATTCTACACGTCAGAGAAGCCTGGAAGCATGTAGGCGTCATCAATTGATTTCTACGGCTGTCAAATTCGCGTTAAATGCATTTGCGAAGTTGGCTGTCGTGGGCTGGCGCTTCAACCCTCTAGCAGTCGCAACATTGTTACACTGACGACCCTAAATGCCCGAGAGCGTCGAGCGCATCGATGTAGATATATAGATATCGACGGAAAAGCGCTGAGAATTGGGAATGTGGGAATTTTCATTGTTCAAGTTGGATTGGGGCGTAGATGTGGCACGCCGTTGCGGCGCAATGATGATAATTGACGTGTTTGATTAATTTCCCCCTTTGTTTACGATGATAACCTCTTTCTGCCGGCGTGATCCCGCATGCGGAGCAAACGGATTTGTGGATTTTAAATGCGAACAAAAAACCTGTTAATCAATCACTACCTTTATAGACGCGTTCTTTTGTAATTAAAAAAAAAATTATTTTAAAATAAAAAAATTTGAATTTCTAAAGAAATTTTTGTTTTTTTATAGGAATTTAAAGTTGAGTCTTATGCAACCTGAGCTTTTTTCCATTTGTTGTGCGTGAAATCCTTTCCTCGAGAAGTTGTGATCTAATCCGATGCAATCCTCTGTTGTCAGGTGCTGTGCAACTCGGGCGGATTGTCGGAGATACCCGTAAAGCTGCTGCCCGCGACAGTGGAGCACTTGTCGCTGACGCGCAACAACTTCCCACTGATACGCAGCGACGCCTTCGCCGGGCTGAAAGCACTGAAGAAGCTCTCGTTGGACGGCAACAACATATCGATCATCAAGCCGTTCGCCTTCCGTGGGCTTCCACGCCTTCGCGAGATTTCCATCCAGCAGACGCCGCTCACCTCCGTCGCTCAATTCTCCTTCGCCGGTCTGCAAAACATCACTTCCATCTACTTAAGTCACAATCGCATCAAGAAAGTGGAGTGTTACGCGTTCGCGGGTACAACCAATCTGAAACTGTTAGTGCTCACCAACAATCCGTTAATCAAACTGGAAGCGAATGCATTCAGTGGACTATCAACTGTAGAACGCATTTCACTACCCTCTGGTATAAGAATCATCGAAGCGGATGCCTTCAACGGTCTAGATACCATCGGGTATCTCAAGTTGGCGTATATGGACCTTCCCGGTGTGAAAAACGGTACCTTTCGAGGTTTGTCCCAAATTGGGACATTATCCATACAAGAATCTGACCTGGGTGTCATCCGCCCGGGTGGATTTGATGGGGTGTCGTATATAGGTAACCTCAACTTTTTGAATAACAAAATCGATGGGATACAAGAACTGATTTTCATGCCTGATCAACGCATACGCAACTTAAAGTTTCAAGGGAATCATATCCTTGACATTCCGAAAACGGATGCGATTTATTTCGCTGTCGCCCGGCTGACGGTGATAGGTAATCATTTCCCATGCGATTGCCATATTCACACACTCCTCGAAGGTCCGTTGACGAACGACAGCGCGTACGAGTTCACCAATCGTAATTACTGCATCTCGCCGATGGAGTACAACGGGCGGCCGATGAGCGAGCTGGATTTTGACTCAATCGGACGCTGTCAGGAGGAAGTCACCAGGGGTAACTTAGAATCAAAGGATGTTTCATCCAGCAGTGGGATTCAACATCGCGGTTCAAAATTCACACTGCATCCATTACTTTCCGCCGTGATGGTATGTTTAATGAATTCAGCAATGGTTCATGGTTTTATGGCGAAAACAGCCGACGCGACTTGAAACAACGCCAGCGGCTCGGAAATACGAGTAATTATCTTGTCAATTAGTTTGGTTTTTATACTCGCGATTTACAATTACAATTAAACTAAACTATTAGATCTAGGAGGAACAGAAACACATCCGAATTAAATTTCAGCTTTCAACTGACAATACTAATATTAATTTAATAATTTGCTTCAAAATTTGACCCAAATATTATTGTTTTATAACCGAAAATGTTGAAATCGTCAATCACCGTAATTAATTCGCGAAATATCTTGCTCGTTTGCCGGCGCGCAATTCCAATCAATCATTTATTTACATTTACGGTTTAAATTCACAAACAATCGCAAATCGATAAGTTTCACTCGCTGCACGGTGCAGCGACGAAAAATGAACACGTCCACAACTACGATTTTCTATTACGAGTAAATTAATCTATGTAATATCCAAACAACATCTCAATAAATCAATTTTTACTGAATAACTGATTAGATTGTACATTTACTACGATGTATAAACCAACGAAGTTAGAATAAGTAGGCCAATCGTAACACGTTGATAAATTACTGGTATAATTAATGTACAGCTATTTATATTATACAGGGTGTTCAAAAAAATCATTTAAAAAATTTATTTTATAATTATTTATAAATTTTTGTCAAAAAATTCAAATTTTGAGCCAAAAGTGAAAATAAATTATTAAAATGTTTTATTATTACACCCTGTATGGAAAATGTGCAAATATTTATTGATAGAGAATTTAATAGACTAGTAAACTCGTTAATATTATCAGTTTTGTAAAAGCATCAAAACAATATCCATAAATTAAAAATTACAAATACAGAATAATTTATTGTACATAAATATTGTATAAGTGTAAATTAATTTAATAGTTTACGTGCGCAATTACATATGAAAAATCCTCATACGAGTGAATAAATCGTTGACACTTCCGAAGCGATGGATTGTGGGGGTGAAGGGTTGCTGGGTGCGGAGGTGGAGGTTGTTTGCTGTCGCGCTGATTGATTGCATTTTGCGCATCGTCCGACCGCGCGCTAATCGATCGCGTTATGATATGTCATTTTATAAAACATCTGTACGACTACCACTATCATTAATACCAGCGACACGCCAACCTAAACTGAATACCTATTACAATATAAATAGGATCAAAGTGTTTATGTTTATAAATTTAAAAATTTAATTTTAAATTTTTTTTATTAAATTTTTTTTTATGAATAAATAGCTTAAAAAAATTATGTAAATATTATGTTATTGGATAAATTACAAAAGGGTAAGTTATAATTAAATCTGTGTATACGACTATAAGTATCGAACGAAATTTATACATTTTAAGACAAAACCAGTGCCTAAATTTTTGTACAAATTGTAAATATTAATTAAAATCGATTTTAAGACCTAGAAAATGAGGTTATAGATGAAATCAACATTAAGTGTACAATAATATCATTACTAATACTGAAATTACGAGTTAATTATGAGTAGATAGGAACTGATATCAATTCAAATCGATTCAATTAAAATCACTTGGAATAAAATACAAAGGAATATCAAATTATCAATTCAATATATACACTTGTGAGAATATTATGAAACTGAATAAAACTCCATACGAATGTAAATAACTATACTAATCTAATTACAGATTAAGGATAATAATAAAGCTAAGGATAATGTCATCCATGTGTTCCGTTGTATACTTGTACTCTGGCTAAGAAATTATCAGATAAATTGAAGGGTTTTATAAATAAAATATAAAAAATTATATTTTTTGTCTTTTGTCTTGTTTTTCTTCTTATTTATTCTTCTTAATTAATTTTTAATAAAAATTTTTGTGTTTTTTTTTTTTGTTTGGAACGTTCCAGATTCAATTACACACCGTCGTCGGTTGCAACCATTACCCAAGTTCATTCATCAGTCCTGATAACGCAATTACCTTCCATGTTTATTAATCATAAATTATTTTGACAGGTTAATTTAAAAGATACATGAGTATATTACGTGTATTGCGTCGTTTGCCGCCTTAACTACAGCGATCAAGTTGTATCCGACGCAATTTCGAAAACATAACCAAAGGAAAAAATATTAATATGCTTGTTAGTCGGGGAATATCAATCAAGAACGGGGTAGAAAAGGGTAAATGGGTTAAAGTGGTTTAAAATTGCAGAATATTGAATTTAGTGAAAGTTTAAACGAAGTAAAAAGTGTAAAAAGTACTTTAGTCACGGCTTTTAGTCACGGTTCGTGTTTAAACTAGCATTTTTTGTGTCTCAAAAGCGTGGAAAACTTGTGTTTTGTACGTGGATGTAAATTATGTTTATAAAAATGAGTTTATTACATCTGATATAATTTTAAAACGCAATTAAATATTCTTTCTGTGTTTAAAAAGAGTTAAAAAAAGGTAAGTATGCATTTTTCATACTTTACGAGGTATTTACGACTTAAAAATGTATAACTCAATTTCAACATTTAGTAAAATTTATATCTTTTACTTGGTGTATCAAAAAATACTTAAACAATAAACAAAAATAAATATACATGAAAATTTAAATAAATTCAATTTTATTTACTTTAATTTTCTACCACATTAACTAATATTTGTATTTCTTCATCACACTGTATTCAAAATATATTCTCTTGATTTTATTCAGTTAACTCTTGTAATATTACCAAATAATTAGCATAAACGGTACTTTATCGAACGCCGACGAAGACTTGTCTTAGTTTTAGTATACCTACAGCAATTCTAGATCTACCCGTAGCTTATTTTAGTTACGCAGGTGGGACTGGCGGCTCCGAATGGCGGTTTTGCACAGTTCGCAAAGTCAAACATTAAAAATCATTCGGGCCGTTATTACGGCCGGCCTCGCAACTCGCGACCGCCGCAATTTCGCGCACGCGATAACATTTTTCTTTTATGCTTTCTCAACCTCACACGAAATTCACTAATAAATATACAGTGCGTCTATAAAAGTCAAGTGAATTATGTAAAATGTACAAAGTTTAAAAGACAAATATTTAGACGTTACTTTTAGTTAAAGTTTGTTGTTAAACTTTGTGGTTAGATTTAAGTGTTCAAGTTTTTCGAAAGAAACGAGAAAGAATGTAGTGGTTTACCTGCAATCAATCAAAACACCTTTATTGCCTTTTAATGGTGCACTAATTATTTATTAATACACTTTACTGCTTATACACGTGTAAGAAATCAATCTGTCACAATAATTCATCGAAATGATTGATTTGTGAACAATTTTTGTTTAATAAAATTTAATTATTCAGAAATTAATAAATAACAACTCACAGATTAGTAAACTACAATTTATTTAATAAATATTTGTTATAAAAATATTTTTTAATAAATAATTTATATTTATTTTGAAAAAAAATAAATGTTTATTCTTTTTATGCAAATTTATGACCAGAATTTAATTAACATTGTGTATTATGTATTTAAATAAAATCTATTAAGTTAATTAGTTAATAAACACTTTATTTATGGCTGAAAATTAATTATTTACCCAAATAATTAAAACTAAGTCAATCTATATATATAAAAATGAATTGCTGTTTGTTAGTCTCGCTAAAACTCGAGAACGGCTGAACGGATTTATCTTATCTTGGTCTTGAATTATTCGTGGAGGTCTAGGGAAGGTTTAAAAACGTATTGCTCGGCCGACTAAACAATCGGTAGTTGTGCGCGCTTGCGACGGGAAGCTCCATACTGATATCGCAGTCGGCCGATAGTTGTTCTGGTTGGCCGATAGTTTTTAGTTTGAAAGCAGTTGGGCCTGGCCCATCAAACTTGTTTATCAGCCGATACAAAATCGTTGTAAGAATGCTGACTTGCATACATCTTCATACTGATTATAAGCCCGACCAAACTATCGGCCGATAAAAAGTTTGTAGCGTGCGGGGAGCCTTAGTTTTCGTTGAATGTTTAACAGTAAAACAAAATGTGAAGTGCAAGTGAAGTGTTACAACAATTGCAACAAACAAAACTTATATCACCAATAAGACGTTATCACGTAAACATCTCGATCGTAAACCTACTTTACAAACAACCATTTTTTTTTTTGAAATATTGCATAAAATAAGGCAAAATTTGATATAAAAAAACAAATTGTTACTTTTTGAGTTCATGAATGATGACTTTTGCCATTTGGTGTTCCCAATTCCTTTTTACTTTCTCTTTTCGTGAACTTTTGTTATTAATGCTTATTAAAATCGGTATTGCATACATTAAAATATTTTATCACAACCCAACGTTCATACAATATTCATACCCTGCGGGAAACATGACGTAAAAACCAGCAAAAACATGCTTTAATTAACAAACAGAAATAATCCCTACTAATATTATAAATGCGAAAGTCCTGATGTTTGTTACACTTTCACGCAAAAACTACTTAACCGATCATCATGAAAGTTTGTACACATATTCTTAGTGGTCCCCGAATGGTTATAGGCTACTTTTTATTTAATAAAAAAAATTATTTTTTAAATAAAATAAAGAAATTGTTTAGCCAATAATACCTCTGCATCTGGCTATTTGACTACTTTAACGCCATCTAGCATTCCAGCAATGAAGCTCAAACCTAAGTACTATAGTACCATCACACTGTATTATCACACTGTATTACCGACAGCTACGTCAACATCAAATCCAATTGACTACACTATGGAGACTGTACACTATACTTCCATAGACTATACTTTCAGCCATTTTAAACTTCCCGCCATTCTACTTCATTGTTACTTCTTCTGTGACTACAGACGCGTACGGTTAAAGCTAGTGTACGTATAATTTTCTAAACCTACAAAAAATCAATTCAATATAAAACAAAATAAAATTTGAGTATTTTATAAACATAAAAGGGTCGAAACATGTTGGGATTGTAACAACGTTCAACTTTCGACCTTTCACAGGCATTATCTATCGGTCATCAAAGTATAAAGTTGCGATTTCGAACAAGAGCAATTTGCCAGGCGTCAACACCCCCCAAACCAAAGCCCTCGACTTTCACTCCGTATTATTTAAACCCCTTTAACGGCCTCCGTTTTGGTAAATATGCGCGACACACTGTTGACGCCAACTTACGGATGTACGCCCACACAACTACCTTACCGTTCCAGGCCTGGAGGATAAAGGGGATGAGAAGTAGGGTGGCAGCTAAGCAGTCAGGTCCTTAGACCATATTGATGTTGATTAGCGCACGGTATCACGGCGGTGGCGACGCGCGCGCTACAAACAAGCCTTTGTCGCCGGGATTAGAGGGTGTAAAGGGAGCTTATTGCTTATTCTGGTCGGGCCTTTCTTCGTGGCCCTCTAATGAACTCGCAGCCGCAGCGCCGCCGCCTGAAATATGCTAATTTAAGCTCATCCGACCACTACACTTTAATTGCCTCTTTTTAGATTTAAATTACGCGCGTGGAGGCGGATGACGCCCTTTTTGCGCTGCCGGGCGGGTTTCATGTCTTCATTGCGTCAACGGCCCCACTGGATTCATGGTATGAGGTTGTGATGATGATGGTGGCTCGATATCCGATAGGATATCGGTTTATCTCGGGGGCGGGCGAGCTCGTGTGCGTTATCCATCATCAATATTTAACACCTCCGTCGTCGCCTACATTGTAATTAAGCGATGTGCGATGAGATTCACGTGCACGCATGCGATGCGAAAATAACTAGCATGAATACAATGGACCTAACAAGTAAACATCTATTGTTAAAGAAAAAAATATTTTTTAATTAATTATTTTTTTTTACAATTGGATTAACATTGATTTGTGTTGAATTAACAGCGAGAATGTTAAATTTTAGGTCCGGTGGTTTAGCCATCGGTCCGGATGTCGTCCATTCGAGATTTGCACGTTTTCCGTACGCGCAGCACGAACCGGAACATTTTAATCGCTGACTTTGCAACTGTTAGCCTCCGAGACGGATGGTCAATATACGCGAATGTCGCCGGTGCAGAGTTACGAAAATTTAGTGGCCGGCGATGGCGTTTCACGACTCCCAATTCGCCCACATATAATTCGGATGACCATCCGGCCAAGTCAATAAAACGCAAACATTTGTCATCATTATTGTGTTTAACAACGCAAATAAATATCAATTGCATCTTAAAATGCACTCATAAACTATTGATTCCATTTTGTTATATTTTTTTCTGTGACTAAATTCGCTTGATGTGTCTGTGTCCTTTTAGTCCTCGTTTTTGTCGGACGATAAATCGCTCACCATTTCTTTTTTTCACCCCTTTTGACCTCCGTTTAAACCCGTCCGCTTAGCGATAATGTTCTTGCCACTTAATAGTTGTGAAGCCGAATTAATACCCGTTACCCGTTGTTACCCGACAAGAAATTTCGTCTGAAAAACAACAAAGCGTTTAATTTGTTGCGAAATTAAAAATTACGTGCCTCGTTGGATGTGCGCACGAACGCTGAATGCATTCGTGAATTTCTTGAAGAAAAACAAGACGTCGAAAAAAAGCGGAGTGGTAGCACAAGTAGAAACAAGTCATTCGAATTGTTGCCTCTGGAAAGATAAGACTATTCGATCGGTTAGCAGTGTATCCAATTTTCCGAACGTTGCGAGCGCACTAATTCCCTTGGGGCCGATGGATGGCTACGACTTATTGGAATTAAATAAATTATCGACGCGTTTTATTGTCTTCGATGCGACGTGCGCAAATAGATTGTAAAGATGGCAGCGGAGCTTCTAATCTTTTTTTATTTTTCTTGAGTTTTAAAATAAGAAAAAAATTAAATTTATAAATTTTTAAATTAATTTTATTCATTAATTTAATTTAACATCAATTTTTATTGGAAAAAACATTTTTGATGAATTTTTTCGGTTAAATTCGTTAAAAATCATCCAAAAAAAATTTTTTTTACTCAACTTAATTGTAAATTTAATAAAATAAAACACACATTGTTCAATTTTCTATAAATTTTGAGTTTGCTTGAAATAAACAGATTGATTATAGAAAATTCCCTCTGTAAATATTTGCGCCTGTAAACTTTGAAGACACGAGACTTGACATTGACATTCCAATCATGACTTCCCGGAAATAAATAATATTTTTGTCGTATTTCCGGGTTATATCTTGTCGGGTTCGAGTTCATTACGGTACGTTTGCGACCGATTCGAAGCGACACTCAGTCCCTCGCTCTTTTCAATTCACCCACAGCTTTTTCTCAACTCTATTCAACCACAACCAAGCAGCGTGAATCTTTTCTTCTTCTATTTCATTTTCAAATTCGACTTCACGACCTGCGGAGTTTGAAGGAAAGAAAAGGTGTCAACAGCCAGTAGAAATTGGAAACAGAAAGTACGAAAGTAAGACATTTCCGTCCGGAATATATTATTGTCTGTTTGCTCAAACTCAAACCTGGGGAGTCGGGAGACTCGGGAATAAAATTAATGTCGCCCGGAACCGAAAACTAGCCAACTTGTTTGACATTGCTAATAGATTTTTCTTCCTCGGGCGTTTTCTTGGTTTCAGTCTTTTATTCTCTGCTGGGATAACAAGGATGATATTTTTCTTGAGGAGAATTGCTAGAATCTTGTGTTTGCATTCAAGTCTTAGGACTAATGAAAAATTTTACTTTTTTTAATTTCGAAAAACTTTTTAATTACATTAATTACCAAAAAATATAAATTCATAAAAATATTTATTTAAACTAATAATTAAACAAAAAATGCGCTTGTTGTTTCATTTTGTAACAAATTATATAGTTTTCCACTGAAAATTTATATGGTATAACAAATTAAGATAAGAATGTTTATGACCTACGATAAAAAGTAAAATATGCAAATAAAGTTTCACCTCTATTTGCTTAAACCTTAAAACATTAAATAATTACATCAAATTAACCGTGGTTTACATCAGACTGCGAGTAATAATGGGGAGGTGCACACAATACATTGCCATGGCTACAGGTTATTTAACCAACAACAATAGTTACCTTAATATAATAAATTTAATAATTTATTACTTTCAGGAGCCATTTGGGTATTGCTAACCGGCGTAAACCTTGGATGGTCATCACCGTACCTTCCAGTGCTTCAAAGTGATCAATCCCCAATTGGAAAAATATCCAGCAATGAAGCATTCTGGTGTAGTGTAATGCCTCTTGTAGGAGCTGTACCAGGAGCTCTCCTAGCAGGTGTTTTAGTTGATAAAGTCGGAAGACGAAACATTTTGATATCAATCACACCAATATGTTTTGTTTGCTTTGTTGCTATTGCATTCACAACAGAATTATGGATTCTTGATGTGTCAAGATTCTTATTGGGATCAATGGAGGGCGCTACCTATACTGCATTACCAATGTATTTTGGTGAAATAGCCGAACCTAGTATTCGAGGTGTCATGAGTGCGTCAATACTAGTAGGAGCTGTGTTTGGTCTTTTGGTTATAAATATCCTGGCACGTTTCATGTCAATTTATATAAGTGCATTGGTTATATCAGTGATACCCCTGGTGCATTTCTTTATATTCATGTGGTTACCAAAAAGTCCTTATTATTTGATAAAAATTGGAAATTTGGAAGCAGCTAAGAAGAATCTGCAACGTTTAAGAAGCTCTGATGATGTTAAAATTAACGAAGAGTTTAGTGATATTACCGCAGCTGTTAAAAGACAAGAAGCTGCTGTTTCCAATAGTTCATGGACAGATCTTTTCACCCAGAAAGGAAATCGACGTGCAATTTTGATATTTCTGATTGTTTCTGGTACTTCAAAATATTCCGGTGCGAATCCTTTAATGTTCTACACAGAGACAATTTTCAACGATGCTGGTGGTCTCCTAGACCCGGAAATCTCCGCGATTATTTTTCATTTCATTGGGTTTCTATCCGTGGCACTTGCTGCTTGTATGCTGGACCGGTTTGGAAGGAGACCAATGGTTATGATATCATCTATCGGATGTGGTTGCAGTCTGGCGTTGATGGCGACGTATTTAACACTTCAATATTTAGAGTATGAAATTGCTGAAGAGCTCAAGTGCATTCCACTTGTAGCAATGTTTTGTTACTATGCAATTTATAATTTGGGACTTTGTATTGGACCTGTTGTATTTCTATCTGAAATTTTTCCTACTTCGGTTAAAGGTTATGCGTTGGGTATGGCTGATTCTACTTCGGTGATATTTGGAACAATCGCTTCGAAAATATTTCATGGATTGACTGAGAATCTTGGAATGTATTCAGCTTTTGGTGTTTTAGTGCAATGGCATTTTGTGGGACTTGTTTGATTTATGCTGTGGTACCTGAAACTAAAGGGAAGACTTTGGATGAAATTCAATTAGAGTTAACTAAAAGTTCTAAATCAGTAAAGTAAGTTTTGGTTTTGTGGAAAATAGAAAGGAGTATGATGGATTCTGGCAATGAAAATGTGTCTGAGATCATAATTACTATCTGGGACTAAAGAATTCATTCAAAGATGGTGATGAGAATTGATGATAAGGAATTGATAAGGATCTGCCAACAAATAAACAAAGTAGGATGTAGAAAAACGTTGTTTTTAAGTAGATTTTTTGATTATCAATATTAAAAGTCAAAAAATCATAGTTTTTTAATAAAATGTACAAATTTTTATGGAAAAACTTTTATTATTTTTGGAAATTGGATTGAATTTCAGAGAAAAATAATTTAAAAATTAAAAGAAAAAACAATTTTTATCAGTTTTTCAATATTTTTAGTTATTTTTCCTAAATCTATATATATAAAAATGAATTGCTGTTCGTTAGTCTCGCTAAAACTCGAGAACGGCTGAACGGATTTATCTTATCTTGGTCTTGAATTATTCGTGGAGGTCTAGGGAAGGTTTAAAAAGTGAGAAATTGAATAATTGCTGGAAAATCCTCAAACAGCTCTTTTTCTATAGAATAAAATTTACATTGAGATTCAATCATAGTTATAGTTAAATAGTTGAATTCGAGATGGGCCGCTGAAGTGCATTATTGACAAAACTTTATATGCATAATTTCTTTAAATTAAAATTGCTAATCTTATTGATAGAATTGACTCTTACTATGAGTATGTCCAGAACAAGAGAGTAAAAACGAATTACATTTTTATTAAACACTGCCGGAACGAAGTCGCGGGCAACAGCTAGTTTGTTATAAAATTTCACTTCTTAAAACATAAACATTCCACATACAGAATCCCACCCAAAATCTCGGATTTCCGTAATATGTAATATTAATTCAGCAGTTTCCATAGTTTGCCTCGCCTATTCATCCAACGCCGCAGAAGTTGTAACAACCTCGTCGCATAACGCACACGTGAATAATGCATCGCGCATTCCCTCGCATGCCCGCAGCGCAAATTGAAGAAAGGTACATTATGGCAAAACATAAATTAAGCGGTTAAACAAACTTCACCGCGACGCGGAAACTCGGCCCACGCCGCATTTCCATGTGGCGGCGGCGTCCAACTTCGGCGGAGTGTAATTTATAAATTCCTCAACGAACGCGTTTAGCACCCACCGCCGCCGCCGGAAGAAATAACGCATTAAAGCAATAAAGTAATCTACATTTTAATGAATATTGTGTAAACTGTTTATAATACGCAGGCGCAAAACGCTGGTGAATTTACTTCGAGATGGCGGAAGTAAGTTTCCGACCTGTTGGGGGTGGTTACGGCAATCTCTGCAAACCGCCAACTCACGACAATCTCACCAAACTTAATTTTCATTCATTTCACAGGTGCCAATTTTTCTTGTTACCAAATTATTTACTTTAACAATTAATTTACATACAAAATCAAGAAAATAAATGAAAAAAATATCACAAATGTTGTCATTCTACTTCCTTGCTTTATTAAAAAATTTTTTTATTAAATAAAAAGTAGCCTATAACCTATCGGGGACCACTAAGAATATGTGTACAAATTTTCATGATGATCGGTTAAGTAGTTTTTGCGTGAAAGTGTAACAAACCTCAGGACTTTTGCATTTATAATATTATTCGATGGATCCGAATGGCACTTTCACCATAATGACTCCAGTTACCTATCCGGGATGTCATTATGTCATTGTGTCACAGTGTCATTGGCTTCAGCAACCCATAGGGTGTTTTCATCCCCGGGTCTGCAGATTATGCCTCCTAAAGGAATATGTTAACAGTTAACAGCGGAGGCGGAGAAGCGTAACGCTAATTAACACGACCTAGATAATAATGTTGCGTTCGCTCCGTCTTATTCGGTTAGCAATTCTCACCCACTCTCACCGTTGCCTATCCAGCTGAAAAGGGGTGAGCATTTATGCGCGCCGTCGACGTGGTGTCGCGCGCGCGTTACACGTATTACATATTTATGCCGTACTTATGTAATGCGATACTCGTGCTCGGCTCAAATATTTGTTATTAGCGCACATGCCACCCGCCGTCCTTGACGTCGAAACTCTGGAATATGTTTTCGCGTTTCGGTTAATTAGCGGCAATGCACAAAATGCACAAAACTACAATTTATAATAAAGTTTAGAGCGAAAAGCCGGCGGAAAATGTGTAGCCGGATATAAATTTAAATTTAATAACGCGCTCTTCTTCGTTTTGCTGTTGTCGCGCGGAGCTTTCCAGTAAATCGACACAATTTTACCGGGTGTACAGTGACATGTCAAAGGGGGAGCTGAATATGCTCCGGAAACAGGCGGTAACGGGCGACAACAAGGAATGTAAACATGCGCTCTTTATAAAATAAACATGCTGAAAGATATTCACTTAAGATATCGCTCATAAACAATCAAGCGATATTAAATTCGTTGATAAGTCGTAAAGTATAACTTTATACACGGAAAAATTTAAAATGATGAAAATATTTCATTTTTTATAAAAAATTTTTATCAAAATTGCAATAAATACACAGTAATATTTGAAGTTTCCATTAAAATCACTCAATAACATGCTCAATAACAGCCTGTAAGACATGATTGCAAACTGCATAATCAAACAAACACGCAAATTCAGTAATTGCGTTCTAGTTCTGTTAATTGACGCCTCTTATTCATAACCACGTAATGTAAACTTCATAATTTCAATTTTAAACCAAATTAAATCACAAAACATAAAAAGTAAACAAATTTTCTATTAAAACACTTTTTAAACCAATTTTTAAAAAATCAATTCATTTAATATTTCTATTGATTAAAACATCTGACAACACTCTGTATATGTTGATTGATAGACGCATGCAATCCAGAATGCTCTGCGGCTGTCTGTTTGTGGAGCTCTCGGCGAATTCTCAAACAACGTTAGCGTTGCGCGCATTTGCAAACGCATATATTTGTGATGCTTTCAAAGCGGAGCGCGACGAGCGTCGTGGCTCCTCCATCGCGAATGATGAACTAAAATAAATTTCGAATTTGTTTCGACAATCCCAGAGAGATTTAAATTCATGCCGCATGCGCGCGCAGCGAAAGGATGCACAAATTCGGCGAGCGCATCGGAATATACAATAACGATAACAACAATAACAAGTGCGGCCGGAATAGGAATTAGGTTCGGGTTGGAGCCGGAAATGCTTAAAAGCGAATATATGTAAATGGAGTGATGGAGAGCGACCGCTGGGACACGGACCGACATCAAAAACGTGAAATTTATTATTGATTCTGCCTACCTATAGTTTACCTCGACTAGCGGCGACTGTACAGGAATTTTAATTGTTTTTATTTCATTAACCTATTTTTAAACATATTATTTTGTGTTTTATGTGAGAATTTCTTCGATAAATTTGCTTCTATTAAGTTTTTTTTAGTTTAATTCACAATAATCTATCTAGATATATAAAATGAATTGCTGCTTGTTAGTCTCGCTAAAACTCGAGAACGGCTGAACGGATTTATCTTATCTTGGTCTTGAATTATTCGTGGAGGTCTAGGGAAGGTTTAAAAGGTGAGAAAAATTCGAATAATTGCCGGGAAAATCCTCAAAACAGCTCTTTTCTATAGAATAAAATTTGACATTGAGATTCAATCATAGTTATAGTTAAATAGTTGAATTCGAGATGGCGCGCTGAAGTGCATTATTGACAAAACTTTATATGCATAATTTCTTAAATTAAAATTGCTAATCTTATTGATAGAATTGACTCTTACTACGAGTATGTCTAGAACAAGAGAGTAAAAACGAATTAGATTTTTATTAAACACTGCCGGAACGAAGTCGCGGGCAACAGCTAGTTCAATATAAAAATTATTTTAACAATTGTGACTCGTTAATTAAACTCTCTGAAACTTTATTTCGCACCCTGGAACAAAATTTATTTCCTGTACTTTTTTAAACTCTGTTTTTCTGTCGTTGCAAGCAAGATGCTAAGGTTACCAAGTGAAATAGTTATAAAATTTAATTAAAATTACTCACTCTTACACGCGTTAACGATCCACCACCTACACAGACACCCAAAAACAACCCTTATACATTTCTATGTCCTGAGTGTCTTGATACTAAACTGGCCATGATGCTGCTGTGCTCGTACATCAACTTCCTGCCCTGATGACTCTAGAAAACTTACCGTCCCTTTTGCTCTTGTTCTTGCTCTTGCTCTGCGTAATAGTCTGGTGAGATTCTTGTCTGTTTTTGGTGGAGGCGCGGTGTCGTTCTGCTTTTCTCACTTTTTGACTTTCGGTGGTTTAACGGCGAGGGTGGCGCGCAGACAAGTTGAAAAATGTTTGCCCGCGACGTGACTGCCTCGCCCGCATCTCATGGTCTTCAGTATTGTCTACACTCGACGAGGTGCGCACCATGGTTTCGGTTATAAAGTCGAAACGCAACCAGAGGGGCGGTTGGGTTAATATAATTTCCTGCGCGTGGTGGATATGACGATAGGCACAGGTCTTCTCAGAGAAAGTAATTTACAAAGTTTATATGTCATTATAAAATAAAATAAAGTTTTTTAAGGGATAAATCCTAACCAAATTTTTATAACCACAAATTAGTAGCAGTAATACAGGAAAAAATTATTTTAACAAGAAAATGTTGTTATTTTAATGAATAATTTAATAGAAAGCTGTTTTTAATGTGTTTTTGATTGATAAAAAACATTTTCATTAAAAAATGTTGAATCAAACAAAATTTACGAACAAAAATTAATTTTTTCAACGTTATTATTATTTATTTGAGTTTTTTTACAATAAAAATTACTTGAAAATTTAAGTAAGTAATTCCTAATTACTATTTGCTACTTGTCCAATTAGTACTTGAGTGAACAACTTTCCTGATGAGAAACTGGACAAAATTCCAACATCTATTGTCGCGACACGCAAAGAAGTTTCACGGAAACGAACGAAACGGACGCGAACCAACTTTGTTTCATTTCGGTTTACTAATATAATTTCACTCGCAAAGTTTGCCTCGCGCGTGGAACACGAGACTAGCGCACATTCTTTACTCCCTCAAAGAAATTCCAATACAAACTTATACTCAGCTATACTCCTACACGTAAATTTAAACAAATAAAAATAAAACAAAAAACAAAAAATTTAATTAAATCATTAAAATTGATTTTATTTTATGTTGTTTATTATGTTTATTTTGTTTATTTTGTTTCTGAATTTATATAAAACATAAAGTCCTTTCACTTTCAACATTTCTAAGACTTTAACTTGGAA